TACATCAACCAGAGACCTGCTCTCATACCGTACCGTTCTCGCTCGCCGAGATGCTTAAGGACGATCGTGAATTGAGATCCAGCTTCATCCCTAGGCCCTTCTTAAACGTGAAGAGAAAGAACGGAGCGAGGAGGATCTGCATCGATGTCGCAAAGCTGAAGAACAACAGAAAGCTTGTCTTCAAGTCGTATCCGGTCCGTCCACTATACGACCACAAACTGGTGTACACGAGTGGCACAGAGTAGGTCAACCGGAATGTTGCTTCCATGACCATCCACTGACAAGAACGCAGTTTCCTTGTCAACCCCGACCACAAGGCCCCCGGGGTCCATAAGCTCAATGCTGCCCACTTCGAGGACGATAGCGAAGATGAAGGTATTGTGGGTGACGTTGAGATGGTGGATGCTGGAAAGGTCGTTCAAACTCCCACGGACGACCCGGAGCAAGACCCGGAAGACATACTGTTCATGACCTGAGGCTTGCAATACACCACCGGCTTTCCCAAACACCACGAGGGACAGTGGAAGAAGGCTCAATAATACCCCACCCCTCCCAACATCTAACGGGCAACCAAGATTGGAACACTCGCCCACCCATAACCATATGTCGGACATCAGCAACACCAAATTGGCTATCTCTTCGTGCTCCTACTTATCAATCTTGCTTGTTAGCCATATCGGAAGAGCAATTCTTAGAGGACAGTGGGGATTTATCTGAGCAATCTCGAAGAACCTAGGCCATCTGCTTTTCATCATGTACATTAGCAGATCAATCATGCATTTCATACCATCACCGTGCCAGACCAAAACAGGTAGTTCCTTTCGCCGGTGAGTGACCCCTACGGCTACGCCAAAACGTACGAGAGGGATTGGCGGCAACGTTCACCAGCTCCAATCCAAAGTGATGAAAACTAGGCAGGCGCTGCCAATCAGGTAAAACGCATCAAAGTCTCCTCTAATCTGAGCCAGAATAATTGATGGATGAATCCGTCAAAAGAGCAATTGCGGGATCTCCATGACGCGATCAAAAGATTCTGCCCAGATGTGTATGCCGTACAGGTCGTACCAGCAATGTGCATCGCCAATGTTCACCAACTCTCACCAAAGCGTTGGCCCTACAGCATCGCAAATAGGCTGCTGCATTGGACAATCGAACCGAGTGACATAGGTTTCAACAGAGGAAGGGTGTCGCAAGGTTCTCCGATCATGACAGGCGTTGACTTGGAACGCACACATTACTTCGCCGACCAGATCCTCCGCAACGCCGCACGTCATTTTACAGATGAGGTCGAGTTCGGGAGGTCATTGCAGCGCGAAGGACAACAGAATTCCCTGATCTGTGAATCCCTCATCTCCGTGGTAAGCAGTAAGCATAGCCGCCTGCCTCAGTTCGCGAGCTTGAGTTGCGTACCAGTTGCCTAAGATAACTGCAGAGAACGAGACTGCTGCTTACGGTCCGTAACCCGGGATGGCCCTTCCATAGCACTCTTTGTTTTCGCCAAGCGACGATGCTGCCCACGACCGGGAAAAAGTCCCGCATTGTGATGGCTATTCTTTTTTTCGTTTCCACGGGAGGTTGTTGGAAGCGCCTTCAAGGCTTTGCTGTTATCGTCCATCGTGCTTCCCGGGCGGGACAGATACTGGTAGTAATTCAAGGGGCGTGGTTCCCAGCCGACGTGTAGAGCAAATGCATTGGTACAAGGAGCTTGTGCCCTGTTTCTAGCTTCCCGCTGAGAATATCTGTTTTGTGGTATGCTCCGGTCCGGTCGTTTTCTGGTCAGTCAATTATGAAGGATTTGAACGGGTATCTGGTAGGTATGGAATGTTGTCACGACTCTTGACATCGACAGCAAAATCAAGATGCGCCGGTTCTTGACATGCCGTCTTCCTAAGAGGAAGGGCCCTTCGAAGAGGCGGGCCGTAAGAGGGCGCTCTACTGTACGGACATCTGCTCGATGCTCGATACCACTGCCGTAAATGGACATAGTGGTAAGCAGTCAGCTCCGACGTTAATATCTTCCCGAGCACGATGGCGTCTGGTTGTAATCTAACGGTCCCCATATAGGAGACAAGTTTGAAAGAAGAGATGAAGCTCTCCGACTCCAGTCCGCAATCCTTGACGTCATGCCGTGAATATTCCACCCAGCGAAGCCGACTCTCTTCCACGGAAACTTGACGATTGGGAGGAAGAAACAAGACGTGATGGTGCGAACACATGGTCACTTAGATAGCGCCGAGACGAATGAGGCAGCCTGGGTAGCTACGAGGGGTGCCGTGACCGGTGCCGCGAGAGTGAGTTTGATTTCTTTGGGCTTCGAGGCGCGCTCGTGTGACTTGCGCAGTATGCACGGAGAAGACTTTCTTACGCGCACAATGTCTCCCTGTATACGAGAGTTTCCAAGAGAGTCTATCATGAGTGCGTGGAGCTATACTGATAATCCATGCATAGTGGGGCATCTACTCGGCCGTCGCAGGCGGTCTCGGTTACGCCTTCAGTCCTCTATATAGAGGTCTGACCTTTCAGTTCAAGGTGTACGTATCGTTCATTCTATTTTCCTTCAGCCATCTACTCTCTGGCTTTTTCAACTACAATCTCCCTAGCATGGTGCCGCTACACGTACTAACATCTGTCTCAGCTTCCTTCAAATGTCCGGCATGGTCATTGGCAGCATGATCGAGGCCGACAACCGGTTACGAGCACACGAGATTCAGGTCCGCAAAGCAAAGAAGCTCGCCCGAGATGCAGAGGTCTGGAGACGGTACGAGATGGAGTTTGAGAATCGTGGCGTGCCGGGTGTGGGTAGTGAGGCGGGTGGGGCGAAGGGGAAGGCAGTTGGGAAGGGAGACGATGCGTGAAAAGTCCCGCCGATTGGGACCATCCCGTGAATTCCATTGTACAAATGCTACTTTTATTCATCATACAGGTCTGTATTGCGAACAATGAGCCTGTATTGCATGCGAATTCACATGTCTCAGCCTTACGGCAATCGCTGCCGAGACCCTGCAGACAATCTTCTCCCGATGGAATTTTGTGACGCCGCTGCAGCCCAAACCTGGTTCATTCGAGAAATTATTCCTCAAAGCCCAACACTTCTTTCTCCCTTTCTTTTCTTTATCGTTCCGACATTTTCAAGACACAGAAGCCGTATCAATCCACCGGAACCGCCAAGATGCCCCGCCGTAAGGCCTTGTACGCATATCCTCATGCAACCCCCACCACCGCAAACCCCCACTAATCCGTCTTCTAGCGACAAAAAGACCGCCACGACTTTCGCGCTCGTTCACCGCGCCCAAAACGACCCCCTCATCAATGACGAAAATGCCTCCTCCATGGTCTTCACCGAAATCAGCGGTCCCTCGACACAAGCGCAAGATGGATCGTCAAGCAAGAGCCGGTCGCACAAGGTCAAGCAGCGCGGCGACTTGGAAGATGAATTTGGAATGACCTTTGCAGCGCATGAGGGCCAGGCTGCAGAACAGGGCGTCTTTTTCGACGACACGTCTTACGATTACATGCAGCACATGCGGGATCTGGGCTCTGAGGGCGTGGGAAGCGTGACGTGGCTCGAGGCGCCGCAGGAGAAGAAGGCCAAGGGGAAGGGAAAGATGAGGCTGGAGGACGCGCTGAGAAGTATGGATATCCGGGACGATGCGAGCGAGGGCGGTGTCAGTCTTGCGTCGACGTCGAGCAGGAGTCTGCTGCCGGAAGACGTGTTGCCGAGTGAATTTGTGAAAAAGACAACGTATCAGGATATGCAGGATGTGCCGGATGCGATTGCGGGCTTCCAGCCGGATATGGATCCACGTTTGCGTGAGGCGCTCGAGGCGCTGGACGATGAGGCGTATGTGGATGAAGAGGACGATATTTTCGCAGAGCTGGGCAAGGATGCTGAGGAAGTTGACGAGGAGGAATTCGAGGCGACATTCTGGGACCAGATGGACGCCGCGGATGGTCAAGAATACGGTGAAGACGACGATGGCTGGGAATCAGACGCCACGATCAAAGCCGACGACAAGGCCTCCTCACCATCACCCGCTGTCGATGGCGGTTCCGACTCGAAAGTAGACTTTCCTCCCCGGCAGATACCACCGTTGCCCCGCCTTCAGACCCTACAGACGGCGCCTGGCTCGAAGAGTTCACAAAGTTCAAGAAGGATGTCAAAGCGGCCAAAGCACTGCCAGCACGCAACACACCTTCGGCCTACGAATCCAGCATCCAAACCGGTCTCTCCTCACTCGCATCCGGCCGGCGTAAGAAGCGCAAGGGCGCACTCACGTCAACCACGAACTACAGTATGACCTCCTCTGCACTAGCGCGCACGGAGCCGCAGTCTTTGCTTGATGCACGGTTCGACAAGATCGAAGAGGAGTACGCAGACGACGGATATATGCCGGACGATTTTGACGATTCCGCATCTCTGGCTTCGGGCATGACAGGAATGACGGGGGCATCGCGCGTGTCTGGGATGACTGACATGAGCCGGGCGAGTGGAATCAGTACATACAGCAGGGCGACCGACAGCGAAGCCCCGCAGTTGGTGAGGAGTGACTTCGACAGCATCATGGATGAGTTCATTGGTGGGCATTCTAAGCAGCCGGGACGCGGGCGCAGGATCAAGAAGAGTGGGTTCCAGACGGGCATGCAGCAGCTGGATGAGATTAGGCAGGGGTTAGGGCCTGCGAGATTTGGAGCTGGGAAGACGAGGAGTGCGAGAGCTTGAAGAGGAGGAAAAGGGTGGAAGTGCCTGATGGCGCTTCCACTGGATGTGCGTGATTTTGTTTTATGAGGAAGCGAGGCGTTTGGAGTTTGTCCACAAAGGACACCGATGGAATAGACACAAAACGGATGCATATGACCGAGATCATGGAAATACCAGGGAACGAACTGCATCTCCATTGTTGTCAGACCAGTCAGTACTTATAAGATAAGTGGTCTATCTATTATTTGCTTCTACAAACAAAAAAGGGACTATTGATCGGAGGAATCGATGCAAAAGATGGCGACCAGCACGGGACTCGAACCCGCAACCTTGCGCTATTCGTCGTCGAATAGGAGGCGCACGCGCTACCCTATCGGTCGTGTTAGCGGACAGCCAGACGTTGTGAAGGTGAATGTTAACTTACATTGCGCCAACCGGCCTCTCGATGGCATTACTGTTTTTGCAGTAAAAATATATTCTATTTGCACGCAGGGTTCTTGTGCTGACGAGCCTACCCTTCGCGATTTTCTTAATGATATCTTATCCTTCCAATTAGTGTCCCTTCCTTCTACGACATTACTCATGTCAATGTCGTGCTCTCACGGTTGGACGTACTATAATGTTGTGCCATATCTGAATACTTGGGGAGACCGCTACTTTGTTATCCTCATGTGCAAGCTAGATCAACCTCCACTGCCGGCCGATGGGAGGCCCAATTGACCGTACAACATGGGCCTTTCGACAAAGGGTCGTCCCCTTTCAGTAAATTGCCCGTTCACTTGGCACTGGCCACTCTGCCATTCAATCCCGACAGCCTATTTCGTTACGGCGATCTTTCTCGGCTCAGCTACCACTGTCCCTTGCCGTACTCACGCACAGATAATGGACATCTACGTCCCCAAGACCGCTTCCCTCGGACTAAAAATCATCGTCACCCGATGTGTCAACAATTTCCTATGTCGGTAAATGTTGGACGCTTGAGAAGTGCATGGATTCGGGTAAAATGTACTGCCTCCCACGGACAAGGAGGCCGGCATCTGGTCTCGAGGGTGAAGCCAACAACAATCTGGATGCCTGGGACATGACCTCCAAGCCGCAATGGAGCACCGACCATCTCGCTTCTTCGCCTTCGACAGTCCGCGGACATGCTCACACCTGCTCCATAAAGTGTTCTCGAAGCATCCTCAACTGGGTATTATTTCACCATGCCTATGTGATGGCCAGTACGCACAGATCAGAAAGGCGGTAGCCGAAGTTGCGACATTGCAATAGCGCTGGAGAGACACGGAAAGCGTGTGTGCGAACATCTCCACCGTACGCAGATACAGATGCCAGGCAGAAGATGCAGCAGAGATTCCGTGATGTTGAGGCAGAGGAAGACACCACACACTCTATTCGCAGCCCTTCGCTCGATGTCCGTCAAACTGGGAGTAAGGCAAACTGCCATTCGTTCAAAGTCATCTGCCCAACCCTTTAGAACAAGAGAATGTGCTCGTTGGTCTACGCCACCCATGTCGAACTCTCGACGTATAGTTCAATCCTGCGTACATCCCGGGAAAGCTCTCTCGTGACTGTTTGCCAATCCTGCGCATTCGATACCCGGCTCTTCTCTTCGTTCTACCTTGCCCAGCATTGAACGGATCCAGCTGGAGGTCCACGACGAAGACTTCGAATGATGGACCTTGACTCGTTGGACTCAGCTTACGTACGACTACCGGAAACCTTCAAGAGTACTTGAGTCTTGGTTGCCTATGGCCGGAGGTGAAAGTGCCACTGTATAGTTGAACAGCATCACGACATACAGCTGTAGGCTACTCGTCACTTAGGCTTGCGTGCTCAGGATCGCCTGCCACCCTCGTCCATCCTCGACCCTACTCACCCCTCCATCTCCTCTACCTCCTTATGCACAACCGCAACCCCCAGCTCCCCGGTCTCAACCCCTCCTTCAACTCCTCCATTTCCCCACCCCTCTGCTGTACGACAAACGCCAAAGTCTGCGCGAACGTCTCCCCATTGTTGTCGAACCAACCACCCGCATATCCCCCGCTCCAACCGTCCCTTCCTTCCCACTCACAGCTCGCCGCGTCAAGATTCCATACGAACATCTCTACCTGACTCTTCAGCGGCGCATTGTCACGCAGCCAGAGTATCTGCGCGGGATCCAATTTCAGCATATCCTCGACGACGTAGTAGTGTATGATGTCGTCACCCCAGCCCTCGGCGCCGGGCTCGTGCGTGCGGGAGGGAGGTATTTGTTCCCTTTGCCGGCGAGTGGTTGGCACGTACTCATGGCATACGGTGAGCTGCTGTAGAACGAAGCATCCGCGACAAAATTGGGGACGAAGGACGACAGCGGCATGGAATCCTTGTAATGGCTGTGCTGCTGCTGGTTGTTGGGGAAGGCGCTGTTGAACAGCAGCTGGTGTGGGGAGTCCGGGAACCGTTTCTGAAACTTGCGGCGGATGCTCCCATTTGAGGGGCAGATATTGTGCGCAATGGTATCCCGCAAGACGTTGTGTACATCAAGCATCTCCGCCAGCTCCACGGTCGAGAAGTTGTGCAGCAGGGCCGCGCGCTCTCGCACTGTGATTGGGTTCAAGCGTCCCGTTCTCGGATGGTCTCTGTTGTGGAACGCTCGAGTGAAGAGCCAGAGCCTGTATATGGCCCTTCTTAACACGTATCTCTCTTCGCTGAATAGGATGCGCCGATCTTCAAAGTCCGTCTTCCATTTCTTGAAGGGGTAAATGTCTTCCCATTTGGCGGCGACCCGGCCGACTTGCACGATGGAACGGAGGAGGGCTTCTGAGAGGGGTGCGGAGCGGTGGACGTGTGCGGATTGAGAGGCGTTGTGCGTGACAAGTTGAATGGCTTCGGAGAGTGGACCGTACTCGCGTTCAGCGGCGCGGCTGAGGATCAGGAGCTTCTTGGAGGAGGAGTAGATGTGGCGGAATCGGTGGCATGTCGAGGAGAGAGCGATGGCGGAGGAGACGGTGGGAAGGTGGAGGAAGATGTGGGTGATAGTTTCGTTGGGGAGGATGTCGAGATACATGGTGATGGCGGTCGTGGTCTGGTTGCAACTTGGTGTCCTTCTTGGTTCTACTTCACAGCGGTGATTGGCTGTTCTAGCCACCACTGGCTCCTCCTTGTAGGTCTTCTTTCTTACTGTACGATACTCTGCGATCTGGACGGTGACTCCTTCAGGCTTCAGTCCGTCCAGGTGTTAACAGAGGGCTTAGATGGACGGGACCCCTCTGTTGGGGCTATCGAAAAAGGAGACATCGGCAACGATGATGAGACACGCCGCCAGCCTAAGAGGGCTGGAAAGACTGGAGTGTATCATGACGAGATGTGTGTGCGATGAGGAGAGAAAGATTAGGAGGGGAGAATGACTCCTACCCCAGGGTAGACCACAACGCCAAGACATATCACAACGGTCCGGTCCATCCCCATCTGTGCGTTCTTGCACACACTTATCGCTATGGCAAGGCAGCGGTCATGTCACATTGGTTTTGGAAGGACTGTATGTTGTATGCTTGATGGCTCCTCGATGCGACCTACCGTGAGGATCGAGTGGCCTGCAGGGTCAATGTCCGAAGAACTAGCTGTGCGTATATTGGTGTGAGAGTAGTGTTCTTGCATTGCCATATATAGCAATTGGTTCTCGGTGCAAGCTAGTTGCTGAAAACAGCTACTTAGTAATCGCCCATCTTCGCCTCTAAGGATGTCACATCGCTATCCCATTCGAGTGCCACAATACAGCCACCGTTCTCCTTCTGCCACGAGTCATCCGTCATTGTTCAACCTACCTAAACGGCAATTTCTCCAGAACCATCTTCGGCACCATCTTGAACAGGAACAGGTGAAACTGCTGAACGTCCAGATCCGTGTATTCCTCCTCAATCCCCTCAACGATCTCCGGATGATGGTAGGCACGTTGCTCCCTGTGCCACCAAACATGATACAGCCTTGCCGCTGTAACAAAAGCAATGCCCTCCGCCAAGCCCATGCCTTCTACTATCTGGCGATGGCTGCGTGCAGCATTGAGTGCGGATCGGAACAGGCGGAGACGCTCGCTGGGCGGCTTTGAAAGAAAAAATTTGAGGTTTTTCTTGCTATTGTCGTCGAGAAGTTCGAGTAAAACCTTTGCTACGAGCCGTTTGCCGTCATTCTCGTCCTGTAGGTCCCTCCAACTCCAGGCGTGGACCGCCTCAACGGGCTCGTCTTCTGCTGGGATTGTAAACCTGATGACAGTGCGTGTCTTTCTCTTTGTGGGATGACTGGCTTCGGCTTTGCGGGTGAGGGCGTGAGAGAGTCTGACGAAATCTCTATGACGGTTGGGCCAGGTTTCGATGGCGTGGTCGGCATTACCTGGGTGTTGCTGGCAGAAGCAGAGCCAGATGAATGCCTGACCCGCTTGCCGAGGTGAAGGATTGGAGACGGGCGGTTCTCTTGCGTTGCTGCTGTTTTCACTTTGGTGGGTGTAGCCTTCTTTCGAGAAGCGGACTTTGGCCCGGACGTATCGTGGACGATGAAGTCGTCCATATCATCGTCGGATACTTCGTTGTCTGACACCTGGTAGGAGTTAGTATACTATCAGGTTTCATAAAGTAGCTCACAGATCAACTATTCGCTAGTGCTCAACAGGCCGTCTACAGGAGGGAGGGTTTTCCAAGAGGGCGGCCGTGTAGTGATACTCTTCGGGCACATGTAGTTGCTAAATGTCTAACATGCTGCTGTGACGTGGCATTGCGGCAAGCAATGAGGATATCCAGTTGACGAGCTGTTGGGAACACCAGCATCTGATCACGTTTTGTCGCCAAGCACGTACCATGTTGTCTTCCGTGATGATCTCCATGTCTTCTGCCTGGGCTGCTTCAGCCTGAAGCTGGGCAGTTGCTTGAGCGTCTGCTGTTTCGCCTGCCGCTCCGTCCGCCATTCCGGCCTCTTCCATGGCAGCATCTGGGTCATGAATCTCGGACGACACGTCGATCACTACACCAGGGCTGTTGTGATCCGTAACATCACGCAAGATGATCTTCCTGCCGCTTCCTGGAACACTCGGTTGTGGCTGTGGCTGTTCTTGAGCTTGCGTATTTGCCCGCTCTTCCAGCAGCCGCTTCTTCGATGGCGGCTTGTCCTGCCTTTGATACGCAGAAATCTTCCAGGTCTCTGTTTGGATGTCTTCCACGGTAGCATCAAGTGCCAAACAGATTTTTTCAACGCATCAACAGAAGACCATTCCAGAATCTGGATCTCTTGTTTGTTTTTCTGCAGTCTCTGTTCTAGATGTTGGATATCGCGCCTAGCCTTATTGACCAATGCGTCACGCGTCTCAGGTTCCATCCCTTCTCCGGCCAGTCTCCAGTATTTGCGCGCCCTGAGCTCAAGTTTTGGC